TTCAGTTTTACAGTTTATTAAAGAATTTTCTACCAATACAGTTTTACAGTTTATTATAATAATTTTCTCTCTCAAATGAACAATAAACTATAATTATAACTTTGTCTTTGTCTGTCTCTAGTCACATATACTTATACTGCATGTAATATGCCACAACTCTTATGTGGGAAATTAAAGCAACGCTCTAGTTTTTATTGATTATACTTTTTGTTCCATTTTAATCATCAACATAAATTTGAGACTTAGTACTTTCATTTCCTATTACAATTTGTCTCCTTACTCCGGGCCTCAAGATCATGAAGCATCCTAAGCTAAAGTCAAAATATCTGTTTTTGAATGAAATGTTGTAGAAGTCAAGCATACCAAAATTAAAATATTTTTTCAATAGTGCTTCCCAGAAGTGTTGTTATCTGCAAATTCCTAATTAAATTCCATAATTAATGAATATTTTATACAAGATTGAAAATTTGACTTAAGATAATTCCACCCTCACAATTCTAATGGTTCAAAGTACAAAAACAAAATTGTACAGATGGGAGACATGAATAAGCAGAAGTATATGTCAACCTAAAAAATCGCATATTTTTTGTAAACAGAATCATGAAAAATATGTAAATCTCGTTAAAAAGCATAATTCTGATGCTGAATGTTCCTAAATATTTCCTACATATAAAATACTTTTGAATTGTGAATATCCAGGAAACTATTTTAGAAGTACAATAAAGAAAATGTCTGAATGAAGAGACCTGAGAAAGAGTTATTGCCCTTGTCAACATTTTTTAAGAAAATATGCGTTTTTAAAAAAATTTTTGTTAACAATATTTATAAGTACACATATTGAAAAGCATTCCTCCTAAAGATATTGTTCTATCAGGCATGAATTTAAACTAAAAAACAGTTTTTGCGAAAATCTATGACATCATAGGAGGGTGGAATTACCTAAGTCTAAGTTTGTTTCATGATCTTGGGGCCGGGTCTTGGAGCAAAAGCTTTATGGAATTGCAATGGTCTTGAATTTTAATGTAATCAGGTATATTTTAGTACTTTTAGAGAAGAAAAAGATATAAGCACACAATCTAATCTAAAAAAAAAATTAAATATGCCTTAATTGTAATCCTCATAAACAGTTCTATCATTTACTAGTTGCTTATTTTAGATCAGAGGTTGCATTCTATATTAAATATTGAGAAACAGCATTGAAAATTGACTGTTTTTGTAGCTAAAAGTATAAATTACCTATTGACTATAAGAAAAGCACAAATGATGTAAAATCCTGCAAAGTCGAGTAAATATATCACATATACAAGTTCATTTTAGCTCTCCTACACATGTCACAATAATAACTATTTCAACTCAATAAAAGAGACATGAACTCGCTTAGAAAAATGTACAGATGGCGAGCACAGGTCATGTTCGTAATGTTGACTGGGAAAGGCAAATTATAATGCAACAAAATAGATGAAGCTACGGAAGCAAAATCCTCATCAATCTCCTTGAAATTATTTCTGACAAGTCTCTGTAACTCAGTCACAACATCTCTCTGAACAGCATGTAAGTAGTTTGACGCACCTGAAAAATGAGTAAAATAATTAAGAGAGTTGCATATGATGCATTTTCAATCATTTTTGTGAGCTTTTGGTACATAAGGATAAAAAACAAGAACCAAATGAATATACAATTAATGCCTTTCATGTATGTGCTTCCTTTTCTATTACTTTTAGCAAAGTAAGATTTGCTAAATCATGTATATAGATAAATGTCTTCATGCAAATATTTATACTAAGCATTTTTTGGAATATGTTTAATAATTCAAACTAGAAGTGTTTGTCAAACACTGATGCCACAAATAATTTTACTGGTATAGCTTATAATTTATTCATACCAACAACTTCAGGGTTTTGAAACAATACTTCTGGAATTCCATGCAAGGTATCTCCCAGCTTCTGTCTTCGTATGGAATGGGTATTCCACTGATTCATTATATCTTTCAGATCTCTCTTTATGAGTGGAAGATAAACAAACTGTATACAGGATCTAAAAAATGCATTTGATGTATGTATAAGTATGGGTAATTACACTTCAGTAGCAGCAACATTTACTTGCATTTCATTCATTAAATAAAAAGGTATGCAAGTGACCTTTGACCAACCCTCTCATCTGAGTCATCTGAGTCACGCTGTCACATGAAAATTCAGAGACTTCCTTCCTCACTTGATCAAATTCAGTTATAAGGCTACATGTATATACCGAGGTGTATGCTTATATACATGAAGTTGCACTACATGTAAGTCAGAGTGTTATTTTAGAAATTATAGTGTCCCATGATTTTATGAATTTTAACATGCACTACACTGAATTCTGCAAGAAAAATGAAAAAATTTCGTGAAAAAAAGTGCAATGTAATGACCGAAAATAGGAATTTAATGCTCACATTGAATGTAGCTGTTAAATTGGCTCTTCCATTATTGTTCCGTACCCAAAGAATAATAGTAAAGTTTTGAAATATGAATCATGTTTGCAGCGCGACTAGGAGTTATAAAATGTAAATAATACAGAGATATAGAAAACACATTATCATTTTGGGTATCATTCTAATTCAAGAAAAAATAAAGAGACATGTACAATTGTACATCTAATATTTCTTTTCAAGAAGGCTCATCTGAAATCCTTGGTCAGGTGAGCGTAGCACAAAGTATACATATTTTTTAAATCTATACATACTTATGTAAAGGATTTCCTGTTTCCAGCAGTTCTTCATATACCAATCCCTAATAGTAAATTCCAAAGATATATTTTTGTATTTTTTTATATTTACTATGGCCATACATATAACTATAAACAAAATACATAGTTAATACACTGTATAATGTAACTTTTGTCAGTTAAGTACTTGTTTTCCATAAATAAAAGAAGAAAAACTTTTTTTAATTTTTGAAATGTAGCAATAACTTACTTTGAAATGATCAATCCAGAAATCTGCTTTCATTTGCCTTAAAATGCCCCAAAATCTTTCAATTCTCTACAATTAATGTTTGTAAAAAAAAAAAATATTTAAACTTGGACATATGAAAGGTTCTCTTTCCAGAAAATGTAATCTGTGTGCGTTTTGGAGGTGTACAATGCTAACCTGATTTGCGGTAGAAGTTCCAAAAGATACTGCACTTGCATCTGTCTTTAAAAATGATTGAAATGTTGCTATGATTCCATTTTCTGTACCAGGATCAGCACGTATTTTTTGAGGACAACCTTAAAAGACAAAATATGTTAATATCAATATATGCCTGCCTTCAAATTCATAACATGTATTTTGACATTTTGGTGGATTAATTTGAGAAATCAATTGACATTTCTCAGGCACGTAGCAAGGGGGGAAGCACTTTTTATCCCAATATTACTTATACTATAGGAAATGTTCATTGAAAGGCTGGTTGACACCCCCCCCCTTTTGTGACATAAGGAAAATGTAGTATTGTAGGTCGAAAAAATTGGTACTGAAAGAGGTTGGCATTGAAAAAGTTGGCTGCTACCTCTTTTTTTTGGCTGGCTGGTCTCCCACTTTCAAAAATGATGCTATGTGGCTATTTCTTGAAGCACTTGCTATTGTAACTTGTCTTTAAACATAGTACCTGGTGATTCTGACACTATACCTTTCATAGCATGCACTGCATTCAGGAAGTATTCGGCTACAACCTCTGGTCTTTTATTAGTCACATCTGCTTCCAGCCATATTAACTGCCGGGAAAATCTTTAAATATACAAAGTGGTATGGTCTCAGAAAGACACTATATTTTTCTCTTACAAACATGTATATGCAAAATAAGCAAGTAGATTTTGTAATTGAAAGTTTTCCATTTATGTGAATATTGTAGATCCCATCAATAATTTAAAACAACATTTGCAATAAAGCAGATGAAAGATTGAAAATAAACAAATAAAATCAAGTCTTTCTCATGAAAGTTAAAACAAGATATTTTTTAAAAAACTTATCAAAGTGTGACAGAAGAACATAATGGAAGGTTGGAAAGAGCAAAGGATAGAAGACGGACATAATAAATGATATATGCTTTGGCCATATAATGGGATATTCATGGTGGGGCAAAAAAATGTCAAATATGAAATGCTTCTATTTGAGTATGACTAATCATTGCTGGGCTATGCTGCTTTCCTTCCAAGGTTTTCATACATTTTCCATTGTAAAACTTTGATAACCTATTTTGTCCCACTATACCGTAATTCTGGAAAATTTTGCTGTAGATAAATTTTTAGCAAATTTGCGAGTGCATTGCATTCGCAAAAATATTTTTCTTAAAAATAAATCACCAATAAGAAAATTAAATCACCAATAAGAAAAATGTAAACAAAGCAATGGTCATTCGCAAGATTTTGAAACGCAAAAATTAATCAACAGCATTTTGACCCAAATTCGCAAAATAAAATCGACATAAAAATTTCCAGATTTAAGGTAACCCTAGAGACTACAATGAAGAAAATAATGCGCAAACTCTATTTCAGAAAACTTTGATATCTTGTCCAGTGGTTCTTGAGAGGAAGATCTTTTTAATTCACTGCATTTTCATCAAAACCTAATTATCTTCCCTCACCCAAGGGCATGTATGATTAAAATCAGTCCAGCTTTCTTGAGAAATACTAAATGTTTACAGACAGACAAGCAGACAGATGAACAAAATCCAATTAGAAAACCACATTTAAGCTTCTAGAAAGTGTTTCAAAAAAAAATTAAAATTTTGATGGTTTCTGTTTGTATCTAGGCAATGGGTTAAAATTTTGATTTCAGAAATTATTAATATACTTTTATGAGAAATCCATGTAGAACTCACTTTAAATCAAACCACACCAAAAAAAAAAAATTATTAATTGAAAAGCTTCAAAATCAATATGAAATGCTTCAAAATCAATATGTCTACAATTATACTGTAAAAATCTACCCAACCACCCCAGCTCCAAACCAGAAGACATAGAGAACCAAACTTAGCATCAAAATATGTATTTCTGCCTACTGTGATTGGGCAACCATAAAAAAAGTTATTAGAAAAAAACAGAAAATTTGTGGACCATGAAAATTTAAAGTTTTAAATATGAAACTGTAAAAACCACATGAAATTCCCTTTTTTGTGAAAAACATATTGTATTTGAATACATTGATTAATAGAGTGGAATATTTAAATTAAAATCAAACAAAACAACAAATCAAGTTATAACGTTACCCATCAATGCATCCATGAATGCTTATACCATATGGCTTTAATTTGTCATATCCATCTATAAATGCAGTTTCATGTTTTGGAATTACAGTTTAATTTCTGCTTGCAGGTGTCTCAGAAAAAGTTAAACCATTTAATATATTTGTTTAATTTTAAGCATTTCAAACCTATTTCAAATATCTTTTATTGACATGACTGACATTTAGGGCAGATGTCTACTAAAAGAAAAAAATGTGTACTTATGAAACAATGATGCTCCAATCTACAAAAAGTCTTTAAGCGTCCATTCGTAGTAGCATCGTCCATGCTAAGTTAGAGTATGGCTAAAATCAACTACTCTGGAAAATATAGGGCAAATCCAGAATCTGAAGCAGAAAAGGTAGCGTATCCATGCAAGTTTGGTCCAAGTAGGGATTATAGTTACATGTATAGGACAATCTAATTAAAATTAGATGTTAGATCCACTTGCATACTCGCTACACTACCATTTAACAACATTCCATTGAGGGTCACATCTGAGGTCAAATTCTATCAACCAATCAAATTGTCCCTGCCAAATCATTGTATATTGTTGAAGCGAATAAGTCTACAGCTGTTCCAAAATCAATACATGTATAACCTCTGACGTGACCGGACCCTCTATGGGATGTTGTTAGACGTTAGTGTAGCGAGTATGCAAACGGATCTAACATCTAATTTTAATTAGATTGATGTAGAGAAATGAACCTTCTTCAAAAACATTAACCTAGTCAATCATCTGAGAAATGCAAGTCAGATCGTGCATCTGAAGCAATTATGATAGTGTCCATTCCTAGATGTATCATTTCTGCAAGTTTGGTCCAGGTAGGGCTTATATTTGATTGGGAATGGACTTGCACCAAAAACTTTATCCTGGTCACTCTTCTTGAAAAGGTAGAGCAGATCCAGCATCTAAAGCAAGTCAGGTAGTGTCCATCCATATATGCATTATCCCTGCAAATTTAGTCTAGATAGGAATTAAACTTTCCAAATGGACTTGCTTCTAAAACTTTTATAGCGATGTGACGCTAATGCCAATGCCAACAGTAAAGCATAACATCTTGACATCATAATCGTGAGCTAAAAATAAATTACACAACCTACTACATCTAATCAAATTATAAAAGTTCCAAAAATAACAGGGTTGAATTTAACTCTTCATTCATGAGCCATAGGAAGGCAATATTACACTTACCCAAATGCCACACAAAATTTGGACCCTATATAAATACACATTGTACAAATATTGTATAATTAATTGTCCCTAACTTTCATATACATATTGTATGTATAGCACAAATTGTCCCAGATACTATTGGCTATATTGGCAAAAATAAAAACCCCGTGATTTGATCCTATAGTAAATAATTTTCAAAAAAATAATGATAAATTGAAATATTATCCGGTACTGTTGTCTTTGATTAGATTCTTAAATTCTCTCTGTGTTTCATTGCAAACATAAAAGCAGTCATTAATAAAGAGGAGAAACAAATGTAGACCATCTTGGTAAAAATTAATCCACTGGCAGGTTTATGGGTTAATTTAATCACTTACACATATTAATTTAATTGTTCTTCTTCTTAAAGCTAAATTTATTTAATGATTAATTGATAAATATATTTCTAGAACTTACATTTAATAGTGCCATCCAGTAGACGCATAAAGTAATTACCCACAAAGGACACAGATTTAAAATTTACTTGTGCTTATTACTTTGTCTTACCTTAAATCAAAGCATTTACATGTAGTAAAAAATAAAAGGGTTACACATTTATATAGTTATACTAACAGTTCACAACAACACCATTACTATTAGTAGGGAAAAGGAAAAAAACAGGGAGAAAATAAAATTATTCAGAAATCATAACAATTTAAAGCTTGGACTTCAAATTGAATTGGTATTTATCCAATATTTCATTATATTTAATAAGGTTCAGAAAAGACATGTCATACGATGCAAGGCAAACACTTGCATTGCTGGGGAAAAAAAATGTAGAACATTTCCTTTCCAGGAATTCAAACCATATTGATTTAATACAAATTGAACAAAGTCGCTATCTTTTCCAATTGCCATTTTAACCTGCTGTAAAGTACATGTACCAATAATATTTCACTTTTTTTCATTGCATATATTTTTCAAGGTTTTAAGTGTTGAATTGATTCACATTTAAGAAATTAATACATTAATGAATAATGAAATGATCAATGTTTCATAATTTCTCTGATTTTTCTGTCTGTACCTTACTAAAGTATTGCCTTCTTCTCAGTCTTCTCTGCTTCCTTCTGTTTATCCCATCTTTATCCAAAAGATGAACTATGTCTCTTGCTATGGACCTGCATTATTTAACATTTATTTCATTTAATGTATTAAAATTTTATAACTATTGTCTATTCCTGAGGTCAAAATCAAAACTCGTGAACCCAAGATAACTGCCATCAAACAAGGCTCAGCCAGTCTTAAACAATGGTTTTTGAAGGGTTAAATTTTTCAATATAACTGATAACTCTCTACTGAAAGACTATTTAATTATAATTTACTGAATGGTTCATGAAATATAAATATATACATGCTTATAGATTCCATGCAGTCAACAATTTTTGGAAGCGTCCTTTGTCATTTCTTAATGCTGTTGCTATATGCTATTGCATTAAAGGGCATGGTTTAATCATTCATGGGAATATAGTGTTTTTATCAAATGTTTCTCAATGATTCAGATTCAACTTATTTACATGAAAGTATTTAAGGAATAACTGCCTAATTTTTCATTTCTTATTGTGATCAATTATTGGCTTGCGTGATATTTTGCATATGCATAAATTATCACACAAGCCGATCGATTGATCATCGTCATGAAATCAAAAAATCTGACGGTTATCCTTACTTTTACATTCTCTTGATTCGGCTAACTTCGGCCCCACTTTTGTCTCTATTTGTCCCGCCCTGCATGTAATTTTATTTTAACCGTGCCTATCAATGAACCAGTACAATGATGGAGAAATAAAGTACATTAACTATTTGTAATTTTATCTGGGACAAAGACATTGTAAATGTAAATATATCATCATAATATTTGCATGTTTAGATGTATTTACTCATAGAATGATGGATGGAAGAATGGATTGACCTAGCTTGATTACCGGTACAGTTAAACTCAGTTATAACAAAGTCACTGGAACCTATGAAATTACTTCGCAATAACCGAAATTCATTCTATCTGTATTAGGAATTCATTAAATTTACATAGCTGGGGATCCAAGATGACTTTGCTATATCCATGAATTCGCAATATCTGTGTTTGTACAAAATGAATTTGGCTGCATACTTACCTGGTAATATTCAGGTGGTGTTTCATTTTTATTACTCTTCTTAGACTTTCAGCACCTGAACATCCATTCAGTATTTCTCTCTACAGAATATTGAAAACTGCAAGTAGGTTTGCTGAGTTATGGATGATAAGCATCTCTGTACAACTTTATGTGTATTTTAAAATATGCAAGTTTTTAGCATAATTTTCAGAATTTAATAGTACACTTCTTCTTCTAAAATACATGTCATTGTACATTATGTAATTTTACCAACAGGGAATATGAATTCCACTAAAATATGTCAAATTTAATACATCTTTTAAACATTAACATTCAACAAATAAGTCAATCATTGTGTTCTAAACTTTAATTAAAGAACTACTTTATAACAACAAAGAAAAAAAACAGAAAAATTTAACCTGCATGCGCACCTTTATATTAATCAATTTTCTAAGAAATAAAATTAATACCTGTGCAATATCAAATATTTCATCCAAAGCAATGTCTGCAAGCCTCCTTTTCAAACCAAGTCTAGGTAGAACTTTTCTTGTTAGGCAATTATAACTGCAAATTTTATTCACAAAAAAGCATCATCACTGAATGACGATTTATGTATCTGGTTAAAATTCATGATACATAACTAGACTTCTGAACATATGTTTAAATATTTTGTATTGCAAGTACCTTATATCACAGTTGTGGTTTCTCTGGATCAAATAATGGATTAAACGGTAGTTAAAACCCTTATAAAACAATTCTTCTATCTTTTCAAGAATATCTAAAAATGAAAAAAAAAGTTCCATTCATTTTATTTTATAATCTACAGTTCAGCTTATATCATGTAATTATAAGAACATGTCTGTCACCTAGAGGATTTTCCAATTTTTCCTGAATACTGAGGTTGAACTAATGCCCTGTTCACACGGAGAGTTTAATTCGCAGTAAATTAATGCGAAGTAAACTAACGCGAATCAAACTAATGCGAATTAAATTGCGTTTACACGACAGCTAATGCGAAGTAAACTAATGCGAATTAAAAATTTTACTTCAGCAGCCCGGCATAAACACGGCTATTATGACGTCATTTACAAATCACGTCACCTTATGCAGAAGCAGATCCATTTGACATAATGGCAAAGTGTCTGTATACACATTTTAATGATTAACAAAATTTTCTTAGGTTTTTCACTCAAAAATAGCACAAGTACCTATAGCTGACCACCGACAAGTGGTATTTGACTAAATTTTGCCATTACGCATGCGTCAGAATTTAATTTGAACTAGCTTCACTTTGCGTTCACAAGGAGCTAATGCAAAGTAATTTAATGTGCGGTAAACTAATTCGAATTAAAATAATGCGCATTAAAGTCTCCGTGTGAACGCTAAGTGAAGCTAATTCGCAGTAACTTTACGTTTAATTCGAATTAAACTCTCCGTGTGAACAGGGCATATAAATAAAAAAAAAAACATTGAGATGCAAATGTGCATTATTCATGAGATATATATTCTCCAAAGGAATCAACAAATAAAGCATATATTACAGTCTGAGAGGTAAACAAAAGCACATGGATATATCAGATATATTCAGCTCTACCATGTCTACAGTAATAAAAGAAAAAAGCAGCGATTGGTTTGTTTACATTGTGCTGAGGGGGCAGACAGTCAACAGGTTGTCATTTAGAATAGGTACATGAATGCTGGGAAGTGCAAAAGATGTAAAATCATTATGCTGAAAGTGGTGATAGCTAGATAGACTGGATGAGAACGATTCTATAGGTTATGTAAATGAGGCACCATTAAATGTTAATATAAATCATTGCAAAAATGTTTTATGACAGTTTGTTTCCAATTAAGTACTGTAAATTATAGAATAGAAACAAACAACCAGTCTCTTGATTATTATGAATATTGATTAGATGTTAAGGGAAGTAACTCAAAATTAAAGAACAGTGCTAGTATATCTGTGTTTTGTTTCAATATTTGCACTTTCAGCCAAAGTATTTTCTGTATAACCTTATGAAATAAATGGGTTTTTGAGAAAACGTATGGTTAAAAATAATATATAGGCCCATTTTATCAACATTTTACAAAGGAAATGCATTGAAAATTGTAAAAACATTGATTTGACAAAATCTGTAAAGAAAGGCTGGCTTGATGGGTAAAAAGGACCTGAATTAAACATGTTTGGTACCATTAAACCTGTTCAAAAAATCTTGAAATATTCTATACGAAAGCCAGAAACGTTGCCAATGTCCTTAAGAGGAATATTTGTATATGGTTTATTGCTTTAGAAAAGTAATTCTGAGCCAGGCTCATTGCTCTAGCCTTGGGGCAATAATTGCCTTTTAGTCATGGGGTTCAATCAATGTGTTTGATTAATTAGTATGGTTTTAAAATGCATGTAGCAAAAGGTTTTCATCAGGTCCCCCTCAGTGTCTGTAGCACATACTAGAAATAAAGGGCAGCATAACCATGAAAACAGTAATGATCGACCTATGGTAAAACTTGATTCAAAACTTCCCGCTGAGAACTCATCTGTGTATAAACATTTGTCCTTGCTGCATCAATGTTTATTTTGGTAAATGGTATAAGATCGCAGAACAATTCATGTGATAAATTCAATGTTCATTATTCTGTAAATGAGCTCTGCTCTCTAAACTTTTGAGTATTTTGATTTTACATATCACTTACCTTGACGAATCATCTTTCATCATTCAGCTTATAATCTGGGTAAAACTACAAATAAGAAATGCAATACATACAACACCCAGTTCTCTTCAACAGAATATATAACTAAATAAACAGGTTTACAATCTTAAAAAAATATAAGAATTAAACTCCTTTTACCATATGCTTTACACTCACATGACTCAGGGTTGCAAATAATTATTAGTCCACTCCCAGAATTCAATTGTTTCGTCTGAAGGTACAGATTCATATTTTCTTGGAAAACTCACAGGGGTCACCTTTTTCTTCTCGAAATTGTGGAAATTAATTAAAAATGGAATTTGATTTGAAGTAAAGCAGTATGTACAGTGTAAGGAGCTTCTCTTTTTAATTGTTTTCAACCTTTTATTTACATTAATGTGGGCCCCAAAATAGCAATGTAGGCTAGTAAAACTTGTGAAGTTTTGATCCCACATGACTTAATACATGTATACTTTCAGAACTTAGACATGTTAAAATACAAGTGAAAAAGTCATACCTTGTGAGCAATGACACCTTTGTGAGGAGCAATCGTGAGAGAATTAAATCACACGAATAAAAGAAATTCACGTGTACGTCTGTTTTTCAAAAATGCAAGGAAAAAGTTCGCGAAAAAGAATAAACATACTATAATACATGCAACTATGACTTATTCTGAACTCACCAGAATTTGAAAATTGCAAAAAAAAATTTGTTACAGACAGATGCAGAGATAAACAGGAGGTTGAACTTGGATTTGTACGAAAATGATTCCCATTAATATATATATGGCAAGCCTACGCAAAGACTGCTTTAATATTTCAAGCATGAGCAACAAGTACTTGTCGTTAAAACTGCAATTTGTTACAGTGCAATGAAAAATTGACACACACAGATGCACTGTCAAACAGGAAGGTGGCATCAGTTTCGTACAAAAATGAATCTTACCATCTGGCATGCTTAGAGTAGACACAGAGTGTGCTTAAATTTCAAGCTTCAGTGTTAAGTTGTTTAAGAGAAAACTGTGACAAAAATTTGGTATGGACAGATGCACAGATTAACAGGAAGTTGACATCTTATTTGTGCAAAAATGATTTTCATATGACATGCCTAGACAAAGAGTGTGCTAAAATTTCAAGCATCTGTGATGAGCAAATGATGAGTACACAGGCAGACAGACATACATGGGGAAAAGAGTAAAACCCCTCTCCTTCTAGGCAAGGGTATAATGATGAACTCGTTTGAAATAATTAAGTACTAAACAAGCTAAACTAAGTTGGGGTTTCATTCTCTGACGAGAAAATTCGAACTAAGAGCCACAGCAGAAAAAAGTAGGATACTTGTGAAAGTTCTGTACATTAAAACCAATAAAACAATACTGGTGTGTTGATTACTTCTAATCATTCTTACCGTGTTTTCTACTAGTTTGTACGTTTCGACTTCAAGTTCTCTAATCAACTGAGCTCAGAGTTGAACGAACTTTTACGATACACATGTAAGGATCTCGATCTCTCTCACTTTGACGCTTCGTATCCGTCACGCTAGAAATAATAAAATCTTTACGCTTCAAATAATAAAAACTTCACGCTTCAAATAATAAAATCTTCACGCTTCAAATAATGTAGGAAAATCTCTCTCACTTTAACGCTTGCATCCGTTACGCTAGAAATAACAAAATCTTCACGCTTCAGATAATGTAGGAAGTCACAATCTTTTTTTTCTTTTTTTTTTTTTTATTGGTCGAGACGGGGACTGAGTTTTCGTTCCTGTTACTAAAAAGAAGTTATCTTTCCTGTTGAAAATAAAAACAAAGTCTATGTACATCTTTATTATTGTTGCAAAGAGAAGACTTCGGAAATAATTGTTTTAAGTTTTTTTTTTGTTTTTTTTTTTGTTTTTTTTAATTTTCAATCACTATACATTATTATTTCAGGGATGCATTCTTATAAAATGATGAAATAAAAATAATAATTATGATCTTGAAGTAAAATAAAAAAAAAATGTGAACAAAATAATAAAAAAAAAATATATTTTTTTTTTTTTTTTTTTTTTTTTTACAGTTATATCGTGTCCACATTTGACTGGCAAGATTATTATTGTAAAGTAAAGTGAATGATTATAATATTGTTATAATTGGAGGAGAAAATAAAAATAATGTGTACACATTTAACTGACAAGATTGGGATTGTTGCAGGGAAATAATAATAATAATGTTGTAAAAAAGCAAGATTTTTAGTTTTGGACGAGATAATTATTTTTGGTATAATTATATAGGAAAAAATAATAATAATGTGGGGGTACCCTACGGCTTTCCATAGTTTTTTGTTTTTTTTTGTTTTTTTTTACAGTTATATCGTGTCCACATTTGACTGGCAAGATTATTATTGTAAAGTAAAGTGAATGATTATAATTGTTATAATTGGAGGAGAAAATAAAAATAATGTGTACACATTTAACTGACAAGATTGGGATTGTTGCAGGGAAATAATAATAATAATGTTGTAAAAAAGCAAGATTTTTAGTTTTGGACGAGATAATTATTTTTGGTATAATTATATAGGAAAAAATAATAATAATGTGGGGGTACCCTACGGCTTTCCATAGCTTATAAATGTAACATAATTTATCGTAGGAAAAAGGGACCCAGCAAATAGTTTTGTTACCTGATCCTTTCTAGACCAAAAATGAAATTTTGAGGTAATTTTTTGAAATTTTCTGTGATGGAGCTTAGGAACAATTTTGTGATTTATGCTACATCTTACAAAAAGTTCATTCATATTTAAACAATGTTATCTTTATATGAATTAAAATTTTCCTGTAAAATGCATTCTAAATAAACTTGGAAATTTTAATAACTCAAAGGTTAACATCAAAATATTTTTTTAATTCTTCACTATTCTATGTCTTTTAGCGTTTAGCTTTATATCGTTTAAAAATTCCTCATTATGAATAAACAAAAATGCCACACAAAAAACAGAAAGTCGTAAATGTCCATATCTTGTACTTGATGCTTCTAAACAATTACTTAGATGAAATTCATTTTGATTATACATATTACCATTATACAAGTACACTGTTTTCTTGGTTTGAAAGGATGCTGTGTTTCCTCCTGAACTATATTTCAATATAATCTTTTGAAACCAGGTCTTCCAACCGTTTATTGGAAGTATGATTGCAAATTATTGTGCCCCCTTGTAGCGACACCTTTTTATTTTCCTATGAAGCAGAAATTATTCTAAAAAAAACTTCTACATGTAAAGAATAAAAAAGCTCTTTGCGGCTATCATCTCGACATAAAACAGCAATGTTTTATCAATCAACAATATTTACTACCATTCATATGTCGAGTAGATTTATCCCAGTGAACTCAAAATTTAAAACAAAAGGCCCATGGGCCTTATAGGGCACCTGAGTATCATGCAACAACTTTCCAACAATTGAATTTGAAACATGTTTTAAACTACGTAGAGGTCATGAAATTCACAATTTTGAAAGAGGCACCATTGCTTATCATAATTATACACTCATCATGCTTATTTTGGCTACTTAAAACCCAGAGGTAGATCAGAGTAACAAAGAGAAAATGCATTTCCACTTTTAGTGAATTTCATGGCCCCTGGGTCAGGGCTTCTTCTGTTACGGCGGGTCCACATTTGAGCTCCCCATCCCAAAGGAACCACTGACCCTGGGGCCACATCTTTCAAAATTTTGGAATTTTTAAAAAAATTTAATTCATCATGCTGTTGATTAATACCAAAGTGCAGACTTCAAAGCATTATATTATTTCAGACTATGTTAACACCCCCCCCCCCCCAAATTACCTCTGTCCCAGGGGACAGGAAATTAACCATTTTTGGAAGAAGCAGGGTTTTTTTCATAAATATATGCTAAGATCATTGGCATTACACCCAATAACAAAGGAAAAGATTTTCAAAGAATTCAAGCATTTTCACTATATAAACATTAGAGCCCCCCCCCCCCCTCCCCAACACAAGAATCTCTAACCCAGGGACCTGAAATTCAAAAATCTCAAAGAGGCATCCTTCCTCCTCATAACTATGTACATAGTTCATTGGTTAAATACTCGGGTGCAGAAAAGAAGAGTTTTATAGAATTTATGCATTTTCACTATATATATATATATATATTCAATAAAGCCCCGCCCTAACACCAGAACCCCCAACCAAGGGGCCTTGAAATTCACAATTGTGGAAGAGGTAGCCTTATTCAACATAACTATGTACTTGGTTAGTTTATATATTATTATAATACTCAGGAGCAAAGAAGAAGATTTTCAAAGAAAAAATTTATTTTTTACTATATAATCTATATAGCCCCGTCCTAGCACTAGAACCCCTGACCCTGGGGCCATGAAATTCACAATTTTGGAAGAGACAGCCTTATTCAACATAGCCATGCACTTAGTTTATTTAATGCCCATGAACAGAGAACAAGAATTTCAAAGAATTTTTGCATTTTCACTATATAATCTATATAGCCCCATCCTACCACTAGAAAGCCTGACCCTGGGGCCATTAAATTCACAATTTGAGGAGAGGCGGTCTTATTTAACATAACCATGCACTTGGTTAGTTTATTTTAAATGCCCACAAACAGAAAAGAAGAATTTCAAAGAATTTATGCATTTTCACTATATAATCTATATAGCCCCGCCCTAGCACTAGAACCCCTGACCCTGGGGCCATGAAATTCACAATTTTGGAAAAGGCGGTCATTTTCAACTTATCTATGCACTAGATTAGTTTATTTAATGCCCACAAACAGAAAAGAAGAATTTCAAAGAAATAATGCATTTTCACCATATAACCTGTTTAGCCCCGCCCTAGCACTAGAACCCCTGACCCTGGGCCCATGAATTTCACAATTTTGGTAGAGGACTCAATGCTGATTACCATCATACCAACAGTTTAACTGCTTGATGTCCAGGAATAAAGAAGATATTTAAAGATTGCACTAATTTTAGTGGTTTTTGCCCCACCCCCCAGGCCCCAGGTGGCAGGGGTCATGAAATTCACAATTTTTGTTCCCCTTCACCCAAAGATGCTATATGCCAAATTTGGTTGAAATTGGTTCAGTGGTTTCAGAGAAGAAGCTAAAAATGTTCAAATGTTAACGCACAACGCACGACGAACGACGACGGACGAAAACAGATAGCAATCGGTCACCTGAGTTGACCTAAAATATAGAGTTCGCCGCGCGTTTTCATGTTGCTTGTGTCTTTTAATGTGTGTTATCTGTACAAATGACACATACACACAAAATTACGTCACCCGTTCTGCTAAAAAAAAAATGCGCATTTCATCAAAGTCATCTAATTATATATTTTATCCTGTTATGATATTTGCTAAAATATTTTTGGCGTTTCTAAACAGGATATCATATGTAGCTGTAAGTATCGAAAAATGTTACATGTTTTCAGGGTAACAACAGCTGATTTCATATAATACTCCCAAAACACTCAATATTTTTTGCCATTCTTAATGTAAAATGTAAATAAAACGAAAGAAGATTTAATCTGATAAATTCAGTAATTAATTATAAGGAGGTGGGTGTGGGGGTGGGGGTGGGGGTGGGGGTTACAAATTAATCATAAGATATATCTTTTTCTTCAAAGATGATATCCAAAGCTGCACATGTCTACTATCGTTTAGCAAAAACAAATTCGTACGTTTTAGTTTCAAAATTTGATTTCTTTGTATATCTTTTTATATAGCTCTTCTTCAAGGAGATCAAATTAGTTTAATTATGACCTCAACCAGCTAGCCCCCTCAATCTGATAAATTCAGTAATTAAAACTATTCAAAATCAGGTTAGCCTCCTGAAAATCTTAAATTTGATCACGTTTCAAGGAAGAACATCTCAGGTTCACTGGTCCTATACGCGGTTATATCAATGCACATTTTCTCTGAAATTACATTAAGTATGAAAACAATGAATTATCAAATACTATTTAACATGTAAGGCAGAGTAACGTCCAAACAACAGGGAATAAAAGACGATCTTAAAATTTACTGTAGAATGTGCGTAAAGCTGACTTAAAGCAGGGCTGTGGAGAACAATAGTACACATATATGCTAGTATAAGCGGCATGTTTGATTTAAATCTCATCTTATCCAAGCCATTGGCATGCGTATTGAATAAAAAAAATCTACAAGAATGGCATTCTTGTAAATGAAAAGTAAGATTAATTAGAAGTTGGCTTACTATATGGTTTTAAAAACATTTAACTTTAATTTAACTGACGTATGCCCGCGTGCATTTGCTTCTAAGCGAAGTATTTCTTTGACTACAGGAAACAAGCAAATTTAAAGTGTTGTTTTAAACTTTAAAACGTATGTTCGAAAATGCAAGTGCTGTTGAAGGAGAATTAATTTCAGCAATTTCATTGCAAAGATCCCTTTAGAGTATTCCAAAATACATCATCACTAAACTCCTGATCATCATTTGGAAACTCTATGTATGTCTTCTGGGTAATCAGATCCATTAAGGTAAGAGGAATATCCTTCAAAGGCAAAGTTTCATAAAGGATGAGGAATATCACATTTTCATCATTCCTGCTGTAAATTTCTTCCATTTTGGCAATATGTAACTCGTACATACACCAGCTGGACTTGATGAAATTGGGAGAGAGGAGAATAATCGTTTTTCTACTTTTGTTAACAGCAGTTATAATGTTCTCAGCGATGTCGAATCCTGGTACAAAATCACGCTGATGAATACATAATTTTATGCCTTCCTCCTCTTCTAATTTTTTTATCATTCTCATTACGAAGGATCTGTCCTCATCAGCATAGGAAACAAATGCATCATACTGGTTAAGGGGAAGATTTTCACTTCGCAAAGATTTGTACTGATGGAAGCGGCTTTTTGTCATATAATAAAAATACCGAAGTTTCCACCTATATCTATAGGCAAGTCCAGTACAAAGTATAAATAGAAAGCAAACCAGCGTTCCAGTCGTTACAAAAATGATTGTAGAAAACGAACGGCATTCTCTTTGTAAATTTAAAATATGTGATTTAATTTTATCAAATTTTAAGACTTTTCTCTCGTGTTCTGCATCTTCAGTGCAATTGTAATTGTCAAAATGCAAGAAATTTATTTTCTTGGTTTTATTTCTTTCTTCCATCCATTTCATAAAGTTGATTGTTCTACATATACATATAAAAGAATTTTTCAGAAAGTTCATAGATAAAGTTTTTGTCGATCCTAATCTGTCAAAGGCTTTCATATCTCCTTCCGAAAGAGATGTTATTTCATTGTTCGATAGTTCTATGGAATAAACAATTTTCATGTAACTGGTGTTAATCTCCCATTTTTTAAGAAAATTTTTGCTTAAATCTAAGTACTTCAAATTCACTAAATTTTGAAACACAGTCTTTGGTAGTGTCGAAATTCGGTTTTCTTTCAAATCCAGCATTTCAAGTTTCCTCAGATTTCTGAATATTAAACCTTTCATGTCCGATGCTAAGCTAAATCCAAGGATATTATTTCCGAGATATAATTCTTTCAAACTTCCTGCATATTGGAAAAAATTTTCTGAGACATGAGAACAAAAGTTATTGGAAAGATTGAGAACTTTTATGGAATTTAGATTATGAACTGGACCATCCCATGAATAAAAAGCATTGTCTTGGAGATAAACATGGGTTATATTGTTGTTCGACAAAAATAATTCAAATATTTTGAATCGTTGATTACTATTATTGAAGTAAATAACTTCTAGTCCTTTCGGTACAGGGAAAGGGATCCATTCATCATGAAGAACACACAGATCCTCCATGTTATATTTACTTTGGTTTTCAATTTCACGTGACATGACATCACTTGAATTTAAAATCTCGCTACTTCTTCTATTTTTGTTTCTCATGCTGAGATCCTTTGAATTAACATGGGCACTACCTAGGGTTATTTCGAAATCGGGGTTATTTGTGGAGGCACAATATGGCACTGGGTCATTCGAACTCTCGTTACAGGTATCCAGTACATAACCAGGATGGCCTGCATGCTGCGCACTTATGTTGATTTTCTGCATACTTTGCAGATATAAAACATTAAAAACGTATTTACCTAAGGTAAATTTGTTGTCTGACAGAGGATTGCGGTGGGCTCCAGCATTTCTATCCTGTTACTGTCTAAATGTAATTCCTTCAATTCTGTGAATTGAAGAAACTTAAAATCTTCTACCATAATTTTGGTCCCCATTCCAAATGTACAGTGAATTTTGTTCAGACGAAGGATTCTGATTGAAGTGTTTTGTAGGTCAAAAGAAAGACTTCTAAGAACCTTAAATGTCAATTTTGTATTGTATGATAAATCGATTATTTGAATGTTCATTAAATCTTTGAATATTCCTTCCGTATGACTTGGATTCTGTATTTGTAATTCATTATACTGTAATAAAAGTTTCGTTAGGTTTCTCAGTCCCTGAAAAGAATTCCCTGAGAGAGTATGTATACGATTATATGAAAGATCTAAATGGACAAGTCCATCTGGAATGCGTTCTCTTAACGGCAAACACGTTAGATTATTGTGACTGAGGTTGATGATTTTGACGTTTGGTGAGAACACTGGTGATTCGGTTAGATTTAGGCGAGAGCAGTCTGCGTACAGTCTATCGTTGTCCATCAGACACTGGCAAGAAGGCTCTGAGGAACATTGCAATTTAGTCATTCCCGTGGCCAGAAAGAATGTCACCACTAGTGTTTCGAAATAAAGCCTCGTCATCATAGAAACCTTTAATGGGCATAAAAGGAGAAAAATAATTTCATTGATTACGATCATTGTCATAAGTTTTGCATCTACTCTACCGATTAACAACCAAAATTTAAAGAGGCTGGGTGGTCATGGCCATTTTTAGACTTTTTCTATCTCCTTTAGAAGAAGAGATCCATATAAAAATATACAAAGATGATCAAATTTTAAAACTGAAATTTATGAAATTTTTCTTTGCCAATTCATAGTTGACAGCTTAAAATATAATATCCCAAAATTTAAGTTATATCTGGGGGTTAATAAAAAAATTATTTGTTGACCATCTAGCCTCCTTAAACATCATTTGTTTATTAACAAACGAGATAGAGAACTTAAAGTTTAGGTCCCGGGGGGTAAAATGCCACGCATCATGCAATGAAAATTAAATAAATAAGCTCAATATTAACTCCTTTATCATGTTTATACAATATATTTTTCTCAATGTCCGAAAAAAATTGCTTGTGTAGAGAGGGTCCTTTAGCCACAATTCCTTTTTTTTCTTCAACGAACCCTTCACTTGAATTTAATGTATTGTTTTTTTTTTCAATGTATATAGTATTTATGAATTGTGGAAATTCAGTGACACATTTTACCACTACGCACTCTGGTATTTGGTCGCTGTGAACGTGTTGAAGGAAAATAAATCCATTACCATTTAAATATCCTTATTTCAAACGATAACAATGACATACCAAGGTATATATTTTATATTTCAATTCAATTACACAGCCAAATTTCGTCGTTACATCACTTTGCCCTGTAGCGTTTTTTAATAATTTCAAATAATTTAATTTCAGTTGCATAAGCTGCGTAAATTTAACACGTAATTTGATTGCATGAAAGACTTCTTTTATATTGTATAACATAAGTTGTTTCCTTTACATTGAGTAATGTCAAAAACGTATTACTCCGCTTGAGTTTACCTCTAAAATATGTTCAATTTAAAGCAATTTTGGAGGGAAAATTGTCTTATTGTCTATATATACACTAAAATTAAATTATAAGGATTGAAGCTTATATTAACCTTTGTTTTACGGTATAATCTAAATTGGTTCAGTTTACACACTTTTAATAAACCGGTTCACAGTTAATAAACTTAAGCGTAAATTGCCGTTAGTCAAATGTGTACGTTATAATATTTACATTTCCAATAAATTTCCCCTATGATTCTTTACAAAATGAAATGTAGTTCATTTTCTCATGAACTACATTACATATGTACCACGAATAAGCATTAATATCTCCGTTGTTACGTCATAATACCGCATTTGACGTCAAAAAATAGTGCACACTGTTTTACTTTAAAAATGATAGTTAGATGGCGTAAATTTATGGCAAGTTATCAGAAAAATAGCGTAAAAGTAAGAAATTAATTTAATTTTTGAAGATTCATGAGGTATATGAACTTAACGCTTCACGCAGGCATATTTATCATGAAGCGCTAACGCGTTTGACGAAGATTCTCAGTGACGTCAGAAAGGGTCGACTCACGTTCAGTGAATTACATACAAGTCGTTTGGTTTGAAAAATAATGCATTTCACACGTCAAAAGTCACAATAAGGCAAATTTAGAGTATGAATGAGTCACAGATGTAAATATAAGTAATAACGTACCATTTTAAAACATCTATCGGGCTATAAATACGGGTTGTACGAAATTCATTTTAAAGCCCTTCGGGCTTTATGGAATTTAATCTCGTGACCAACCCGTGTTTATATCCCGATAGATGTTTTAAAATTATATCATATTTCCTAATTATACACGCAGCTAGGTTAAGGGCGCCCATAGAAAATATGCCTTAATATATTCCGAGAAAATCAATATAATTTTGTTATCTTTTTTATTACCATGAGTTTAAATTTAATGGGAATTGTACGAATGCATATGTATGTATTGGGTTCGGCCAAAGTGACTTTACCTATATCAGCTGTATGTCACGTGACATGGTTGAAATAAGAAAAAATATGTATGGATACAAAGATCGTAAAAGTTCAACGATATACGGAAAATTTTTCACCAAGAAATTGATTGTGTTTTCTTTAAGACAACATTTTTAACCCGAAAAGTGCTGGAAGCAACTTCCCCATGCACGGGAATTATATAAAATTAATAACAGTCTCTTTAAAAACCTCGTGCATTTATAATATACGCATTGATATAAGTAAAAATACAGAAAAAAATCATTAGCGCACAACTTGCACCCAGCACTTTTCAAAATAGTAGAAACAATAGCTACATGTGTACAAAATATCATATTTTATAGTTAAGCGGATATCGTTGAACTTTTGAAATTTTCGAGGAGGTGTTCATGTGATTGTAGTATGACTGCGGCTATATAAGAGACCTATTCGTTATCAATTCGGTAAGACTGTGAAATATTAATTAATTCATTAAAAATATGACTCAATTTTAGTCAGATCACGCTTATTTAGTTTTAAATTTCACATTAACAAGTTGCAATTATAGCTTGATCTGCGTCTAAAGTGCAGAGAAACTGCGTGTCAAACTAGTCTATGACGTCATATCTGTCATGCTAGATCAAGTTGGCTTTAAGGTAGAGACCGATAGCAATCACGTGATAGAAAGAATCCGCATATTTGCACGTGCTTTTTTTCCGGATTCCGGAACGCCGTCAAATAAAAGTCTCCATTTACACATTATTGTCTATGCTACAAGATGGCCGACGAAGCGATCGAGAAATTTCCTCGACTTAAAGGACAAAGTTACCATACGTATTAAATCTTTACGGTTCTCGAAATTGAAGCATCTTCATGAGAATCAAAATATAGCCTTTATAGGTGAGACTGAAGCCGACCGTGAACATAATTTTGGTGAAACTACTCCTTGTCCAGTGTCCACTGCAGCACCACGTGGGTACACCGGTATCGATCTGTGCCTGATGTTGTTTTCAGTATAGACATTAAAGACCATGACCCTACAGGTCCACGTAAGAATCAGGCAATCAGCGATAAGTCGAATGTCTCGGATTAAGCCAAAATTTTTTCACAGCAATACTTGGAATAGTAGTAATCTAAACTCAATATCATTTTTTTCAATTGGCCCATATAGGCTGTGATATGTTACTAAAAATAGATTCTGGCGTTCATGAGCCAAGATCTTGGGCAAAAAAGCCAGAAGTTCAATGCTACAAAAACAAGAATTGTTGTTTTCATAAATTAGCAAATATTTTTTTTTTACAAAGTAGAAAATTTGTACTTCAGTTATCAGTTGCCATGGATTTGTTATTTTGACCGTATCCATGGTAACCAGTGTCATGAAATGACACGTATATTTGGCCATTAAAATTTATTGTGATTTTAAAACTATATTAATTAAAACAGCAAACATATTATTTAATTTGTTAAACTCAGAAAAATAAAGCAATATATGGTCTTTATTAATCCAGTTTAAAAAGTGTGGAAAAATCAATAGGGCAATTTTAATCGAGAATAAAAATTGAAAGAACATTGGACAAATTTCTTCATATTTTAGACATATTTCCCAAATTAAAAACATCATGCATTAAAATTGAGTTTCCTAAAACAAAAGCATCTCAATCAACATATATTTTTTTCTAACTTTCGTAGATTATTGTTCTATATATTTTATCAACAAAAAAATGGTAAATCGATCGGGATCGGAATTCAATATATATGTACCTATATGGGCTCCAAATTTTCTCTGTCAATTACCATCAAGGACATGTGTGAGGATGATATGTGTCTATTATACCATGCTAAAATCTTTATCAACTCGTAAAGATAACATTGCCATTTACACTTGTTTTACATCTAATTCAGATTTATAAGCGAACGGTTCATTGCTTTGATTTCTTTGTGTTTTTTTTGCATCATTAACAGATGTTAAAAAAAGCTCCTATCGTCCATCTTCGCTTCGTCACCTGTAGTCAGAGGTTGGTTGATTTAGTTTTGTGTAAATGTAAAAATTCTTAGTCTCTTGTTACTGAGAACTTCATCATATCATCAGCTGTTATGATAAAATTTAGTTGAAACTTTTGAGTCAGAAACAAAATAGTTATCAATATCGGGGTGTTAATAATCTTTTAATGCATTGAATCATAGGTGTTATTTTCTTTTCAAAATATTGCTAAACAAATATTTGAGAGAAATAAAGCAATATTATTTTATAATAATAATGTTAAATCAAGTTGTAGATACATAAATAAACAATCTAATTGCATCAAATTGCACAAATTTTCTAGTAAACTGTAACAGGTGTCCAAAGACTATTTCTACCTACGTAGCTATTAAAAGTACCCTGCAGTGAACCTAGGTATTTATTGCTTCTCAAAGTGCTATTTTTACCTACAATTAATTTTCTTGTTGACAAAATACCTCCTTTACGACAACATTAAATACAATATTTTTTGATACAGTCACATCTAATAGCCCCAAAACTTTTAGAACTTTGAGTTCAAAGTCTCAATTTGGTGAGTAATTTTTACATGCATTCAAAAGAGTTCAAAGTTGAAGATTATCACTGCACCAAGGTGCAGCTTTTTGTACATGCTGAAAAAATAACACATTTGAGAAAATATGTTGTGACAAAATTTCTATATCAAGCATTATTTTGAATAGCAATATTAATAAAGCTAAATCAAGCTATATAGCTTAATCAAGCTATATAATCAAGCAATTGTGTCGGACTTGTTAATAAGAACTTATAGTGAATCCACCTTTTGTATACATGCAGTTGAACTTCAGTATCTCAACACAGATATATTGGGTTAAATACCATGAATAATATGTTGAAGTGATTTTAAAGTCCACATCACCATTTGTTTACATACTAGTAGGCAATTTTGCTACATATGATCCACTTATAAATTTAAAATAAAAAAATTCTGTAAAATTCTATCAAAATGCTACTCTTCCTACAGTTTTGGTCCCATTTTGATATAAGACTTGGTTTAGAAGTAGAATACACTTTGATACATATTTCTGTTTAGTGGGGGAGTACTTTCTACTCTACTGAAATATATGTAACCAAGTTGCATGCTTAGAAAGTTATTCAGCAAATTGTAAAGATTTTTTCTTTGTCTATACACTGTATAGTATTTTAAGCCTATACATGACATTGTATATCCTGGTAAAACAAGTAGCTCCCAGATAGAATTGTACGTCTACACTTAAAATTTAAAGATAACACAGTAGAAAAGTAGAGGTACTTTGAGCAATGAGCTCACTAAATGATATTCCCTGCCTCCCATATGAATATAATGGCAGTTTTGGAAACCCAAAATATATATCAGATTAAAAAGTAAACTAGGAGGTGTACAATGGGATTATGTAATAAAGATTCTGTGAAAGTTTCATCAAATTTCATTCAGTGGTACGAGAGGAGTTGTGGTGAGATGGGTACCCCAAAACGTAACAGACGGACATACAGACGGACGGATGGGACGTACCGATTACTGTATACCTTCCCGTTTTTTAAGCGGGGGTATAAAAGAAAAGAAAATTTTCCGGTCATATAAATTTTTTATTTGTGAAAGTCAACAGACTCATTATGTACAGAACAAATGTACAATGATTTTCTGTACTGATCCTTATAATTAAAGTATAGACTGAAGTACTTAATTGATAAAAACAGCTATCATTTCTTTCTAATTTATGTCTTATTGGGACAAGTAAATTATCAAATGTTTAAGATGCTACCCATATATACACAAAACAGCAAATGGTCAGGATGAAATACATAACCTTGCAAAATGTTCAAAATACTTCAATTAACTCCACCATTTTAAACATAGGTACAGAGAAAAATTATTCACTTTAACTCTGACAGACAAAATAATGCACATAAAATTAATTGCAAAAACAATCAGCAGGGATGATGCATCTCAAGATGCTTTCTTCTTTTTATGCACCCAAAGTAATGCACAGCGAAATACCAATATTGAATACAATTCGAAACTATAATTGAAGTACATTGCGAATGATCTTTAACAATAAAACAGTTTTATATCTTGATGTTATATTGTAAAATAATTTGCAAGAGTTCCTAAATCTGTTATTATAGTCCACCATGGACTAAACAAATCTAGTCTTATAACAGTTCAAGGGGACAAATTATTTGTCACCAAAATAATGTACATATATGTTTATCCAAGTCATTTACGTATAATTCCTCTTTGTAAAACATTAATCAATATACATTGTACTGCACAATTATCGCAATGAAAGAAAACGGGAATATCATTTCTTTTTTTTTCTTTTTTTTTGAAATTACTTTAATGATTGTAAACAACATTTTTTTAAATTGTAAATTATAGCTCTTTATAGATGTGATTTGTACATCTTATATAACATTCAATTTAGGACTAATGTACCTTACCATAGTCTATCACTAAATACTGACATTTCTTCAACTGCATCATCATTTTTTACCTTTTCTTTGACCTTGACCTCACTTATCAGAAATTTGTGTTAAGCTCAGTTTTAAGAACATATTCAAGATATTTTTATTAAACTGCATATACATATTAATGAAAGCTCTTACACTGAATGAACAATTCTGACCTTTGACCTTCTCTTATCAAAAACTTCATATATAATAGATTTCATGTTACATTACATAATAGTATCTGATATCAATCACTCAATGTTATCAATCACATTTTTTTCGTCAATGGTAGCAAGTGCAGCAAACAAATCATCATCATCAATTTCAGTCTTCAAGAAATGAATTTGTGGATCTTTGCTGGCTAGATGCGAAAAAAATGAGGTGATTTGGGTGGGGTTTAACCACTGATTAACTTTGAAAACATGTTCACCATTTACATCTTTCTTTCTTTTCATATCTTCAGCAACTTCCACAGGGTTGCATTTTTTCCCAGTTGTCTTGCCTTCTTCAAACTTGCGTACAAGGAAATTCTTTACACTTTCAGGAAATCTTGAAATTGTCTTGTTTTCCTTTAGAGCCCATCCCATAGTATTCACTTGAAAGTCATTGGTACTACTCTCAAATAACACGGTCTTCACTTTGCTTGAAAACACAAGTTCATTACACAGTTTAACCCACTGGTGTTTGATTTTATCAAATGTTGTCTCCTTCTGTAGCTGCAGGGAATGCTTGCCAATTAATAAATGATTTTCAAGTCCTTTGAAAGTAGCAAATTTTCTTATGCATCCTTCAACTGTGCAGTGAAATGCTGTAGGGAGGGAATCTACATGTTCCTCTTCTTTTACGATGCAGTTTGGTGAATTATTTACGGCCTCCTGAATATTAGTTGTTTCACTAAATAACTCTTGATTCTTTGACTTTTGTCGCCCTTCAATTTTTCCAGTTAATCTTAAGGGTAAACTAAATCCTGATATGATTGTACAACCTGATTCATGGTCTTTTTGTTTACCATAAGCTAACTTGTCCAGTGTTTCATTGGAAATGAATTGTCCTTTACCAATATTGTAGGCTTTTTTCAAAATTATCCCATCTCTTTGGAATCCCACATAGCTGTAATCATTTACACCTTTTAATTTATGGCTTTTCATGGTTTGTTTGGAAGTGTCTATAACACATTCAGCAATTTGACAACCAGCAACACCTTTATAAGAAAAATAAAAGTAGAAAGATTATTACATGGTATTTCACAAGATCAAATCTTTCCCAATTATTTAATACAAAAGTTTGCTATAAGGAATGTATTTATATAATCAAGGCCAAATTTTGTTGAATTTTGTCCTTTTTTATTAGACTTCTTAAATATGGCCCAGAAATGGGAAGCAGATTTTTCTATTAATCAGTTTGACTTGCACTCCTAAAGAAGTGAATAAAATTACCTTTCCCTGAATCTAAAGCTGTTTTCATGTCTGAGGCTGTGACAATGTTGTTTCCGCTTGCCACCCAGGATTTCATTTTTGTTCGCATGTGTGCTATCTTGGAATCACAAAATGACTTCCCAGCTTGTGCTTCAGAAAAACAGTACTCCTTGATATGTATTCCTACAAAATAATACATAATACCGTCAAAAATTACCTTCAAATGACATCATTATGATCTTGCAGTCAACTTTTTTGTTGTTAATTGTGTTTAATGAAATTGTGTTGTTTCTTTTCACATATTAATTTCTCTTATTACCTGTTTTTTTGCTGATTTCTGGTAAACATAGCCACAGTAATCCACAATGATAGCATCCTGCATTGTCTGAACGAAGACTTATATTTTGAATATGCGGCAGTTGATCTTTTATTGCACGAATCACATCTTCCAGCAATGATGCTACGCAAAACCAGTCTTGTTTGACACCATCGAACACATGAGTGAAAGTCCTATGCTGCAAATCAAAACAAAATGATAACTAGATGAAGTACTTAGATTTATTAACATACCAATATTCATTTGTTAGGAAGAGTTAATTTTGTACTTATGGTCCTTTTGTTTTTTCAGCCAAATTTTGATTTAAAGTATGTGCTCGCAAAACAATTACAAAAATAATTATTAAAAAAAATACATGGAAATTTTTCAAAGAAACTTGTGATGCACTTACACTAATTGATCCATCTTCTGCCCTATATATGCAGACAATCACGTGCCAATTTCTTCCTCTTTGACCAAACCAGTCTGTTTGCTTTTCACGATATCTTTGAGGAACAAATTTCATCGCCCAATCCATAACTAATACACATTGATTTTTATCTAGATGGTCAATTACATCTGTGCGATATCTATCTTGGTTCACTGTTCGAACGATATGGGATTTCCACCTGAGAATTTTCTTCATAGCTTCTGATATGATGGTGGTGTATTCATCTTTGTCTATACCATTATCCATTTTGTTGATAATCTTATGCAATTCAGTACAGACTTCTTTCAAAAGTTCACATCTGTCACACTTTAAGGAATGGATATGGTCACACGGATTTTGAAAATCTTCATTATTACTGTCGCTCAAACTCCAGTTAATACAATGATCTGCACATAGGTCTGATTCTTGAATATGGAGTTTATAGTCTGTTTTTAAGTAGATGCGACTTGAAGTTAAAGCTGTTGTTAGTTCTTTGTGTAATTCAGCAGACATCAGAGAATGATTCTTTAATGTATTCAAAAACGTATGGAGACTCTGGAAAGCCTCCACTCCATCTGCAGCTGTATTATCCAGCCCATGAAGATTTTTTCTCTTTGAGGCAGCACAGGCTTTTAGAATTTTGAAAAGTGAACTTTTTCCTAAAGGTTTGAATTCATTTTCTTTACAGAAAGCCAAATACATTTGTACAATCTGTGCATGACAAACAGTTCGAATGACATCTGGAATTCTGATTTTTTCCCCAGTATCAAACTCCAGCTCCCTAGTGCCGTAGGAAACAATTTGAGTGAAACAAGGATCAAAAAAGAAGTTGATAGCGTGTTGCATCTTTTCTTCATCCATTTTTTCTCTTGGTCTTCTTTCTCTGTCTTTCATGTCCAGGGCAGTTATTGAAGTTGATGTAAGTCTGGCTTGATCTATTTTGTATTTCGTTATTCCTGGTAGTCGTTGCATAATTTCATCTTTGGTTAATTTCTTGGACACCACTGATAGGATTTGGTTGCATAGTTGATTGTTTGTTGTTTCTTCATATATTCTCAGGATGGTGTTAATGAGATCATCTTCTGAGGGCTCTTTGGTTGATTCTGTAATTAGCTGCTTCAAGTTTGAAGACTGTCCAGGAGCTATGAGATTGAGAACTGAATCCACAGACTCCTCTGCTTTTCTTTTATAGTAACGTATGGTACTTTCCCCTGCTGATGAAATATCTGTGCGAAGCTGTGCACGCAAAGGGCTTGCCTTTCCACCAGTTACCATTTTCAATACTTCATTTGCATTCTGCAACGTTGTTTCCATTTCATCACTATATGTTGATATTTGTGAGAGAGTTTGGGAATTTGGTACATCTGAATCCTGTAAGAAGAAAAATTAATCGTTAGAATGAAATCTGAAATAATTGTACATGTTATGCCAGCAAATTTATAATGATGTTAGATCATTTATTGTATTCCCTGGCTACGAAAGGCAGTGGCGTAGCATGCATCAAATATATGTGTAGGCAATAGAAAATGAAGCCAAAGGTTTCAATGAGGTGCGATGCGCTGAAAGGGGATAGATGCGAGAGGGGGGTCAGTATATTAAAAAGTTAACTAGTTGGGGGAGGGGAGATTTGAATTTTTTATTACCTGAGAATGTCACTAATAATTAAAGCATACATGTACATATGTATAATTTTGCTATACTTGAGAAGAAGAGTTTTGAACATTTTTCCTATATATATCTATATGTAAAGATTTGATTGCTCATCATTGCCCCACCTTACCCCCTGGGGTCATGATATGAGGAAACTAAAATTGAACTCTAACTGATAATGTTTCCATACATTAAAATCACCAATTTAGATTTTTCTTATGTCAAACTTTGATCAGCCATTGTGGTCCTGCCCTTTCCCTTGGGGTCATGATTTGAACAAACTTGAATCTACACTACCTATTAGGATGCTTCCACATGAGTTTCATCTTTCCTGGCCCAGTTGTTCTGGAGAAGAAGATTGTTTAGAGATTTTTACTATATATTCCTATGTAAACATTTGATCGGCCATTGTGGCCCCTCCCTTTTCCCTGGGGTTGTGATTCGAACAAACTTGAATCTACACTACCTGAAGATGTTTCCACATGAGTTTTATTTTTCCTGGCCCAATGGTTCTGCAGAAGATTTTTTAAAGATGCCATTAATTTTTCATTAATTCATAATTATCTCCCCTTGGAAAAGGGCTTGGACCTTCATTTGAACAAACTTAAATACCCTTTACCCAAGGATACTTTGTGGCAAGTTTGGTTGAAATTGGTCCAGGGGTTCTTGAGAAGAAGAAAATGTGTAAAAGTTTACTACTACGACAACAAGAATAACATACAAAGGACTAATTTTGACCAGAAAAGCTCACTTGAGCTATCAGCTCAGATGAGCTAAAAACTGTATGTTTCCAGGAATTTATAATTGCTGCAGAAATTCAAGGGAAATTAAACAGACACAAGACACTTCAATCAGAAAGCTCACTTGAGTGTATTGCTAAGGTGGTCCAACATTACTGGAAATAAAATACAAAATTGTTACTTACATTATCATAATATTGCAGATGACCATGTTCTCTCAGATTATATCCTAGGGACTCTCCAGTAGTACATACAGCATACTGCAAAATAAAATTCAAAAAAAAAAAAAAATAAAAGAAGTGAGAAAAGGTTTAATTTTTTTTTCCAAATGCAATAAAAAACAAGAGGCCCATGGGACATATCGCTCACCTGAGAAGCTTTGACCATTCTGTTCTTTACTAGATTTCCCCCTTGTAATATATATAGTGACCCCACCCTACCCCACTGATCATAATTTAGACAATTTGAAATCTACACTACCCCAGGATGCTTCCACATAAGTTTCAGCTTTTCTGGCCCTGTGGTTCTTGAGAAGAAGATTTTCAAAGATTTTTCCTATATATTTCTATGTAATACTTTGATTCCCCATTGTGGCCCCGCCCTACCCCCAGGGGTCATGATTGGATTAATTTAGAATCTACACTACCTGAGGATACTTTCACATAAGTTTCAGCTTTTCTGGCACAGTGGTTCTTGAGAAGATTTTTAAAGATATTTCCTTTATATTTCTATGTAAAACTTTGATTCCCCATTGTGGCCCCGCCCAACCCCGGGGGTCATGATTTGTATAATTTAGAATCTACACTACCCCAGGATGCTTCCACATAAATTTCAGCTTTTCTGGCCCAGTGGTTCTTGAGAAGAAGATTTTTAAAGATTTTTCCTATATATTTTATGTAAAACTTTGATTCCCCATTGTGGCCCCGCCCAATCCCGGGGGTCATGATTTGAACAATTTAGAATTTACACTACCCTAGGATGCTTCCACATGAGTTTCAGCTTTTCTGGCCCAGTGGTTCTTGAGAAGAAGATTTTTTAATGTCCCCACCCTATTTTTGTCTTTTCTTGATTATCTCCCCTTGTGAAGGAACTTGGCCCTTCATTTTAATAATTTAAATTCCCCTTCACCCAAGGATGCTTTGTACTAAGTTTGGTCAAAATTGGCCTAGTGGGTCTTTAGAGGAAGTCAAAAATGTGAAAAGTTTACAGACAGACAGACAGACAAACGGACAGATGGACGACGGACACAATGTGATCGGAAAAGCTCACTTGAGCCTTCGGCTCAGGTGAGCTAAAAAATAAAAAAAACAAGATGTGTTTGTGAAACACTATGCGCCCTGGCGGCAACAAAGTTCAAAAAATCTATTTTTAGCATATTGATCACAGTCAAGGTCACAAGGTCATTGACCATGGTGTCATTTGAAAGAACTTAATCGGTGGAGTATGCATACCAAATATGAAGTCCCTATCTCCTATGGTTCAAAAGTTATGGCAAAAAGTGTAAAAAGCTATTTTTAGCATATAGGTCACAGTCAAGGTCACAAGATCATTGACCTTGCCATCGTTTGAAAGGACTTTATCGGTGGAGTATGCATACCAAATATGAAGTCCCTATCTCCTATGGTTCAAAAGTTATGACAAACAGTGGAAAAAGCTATTTTTAGCATATAGGTCACAGTCAAGGTCACAAGGTCATTGACCATGGTGTCATTTAAAAGAACTTAATCGGTGGAGTATGCATACCAAATATGAAGTCCCTATCTCCTATGGTTCAAAAGTTATGGTCAATTGTTCTTGAGAAGAAGATTTTCAAAAAAAGCTATTTTTAGCATATAGGTCACAGTCAAGGTCACAAGATCATTGACCTTGTCGTCGTTTGAAAGGACTTTATCGGTGGAGTATGCATACCAAATATGAAGTCCCTATCTCCTATGGTTCAAAAGGTATGACAAACGGTGGAAAAAGCTATTTTTAGCATAAAGGTCACAGTCAAGGTCACAAGGTCATTGACCTTGATGTCATTTGAAAGGAATCTATTAGTAGAGTATGCATACCAAATATGAAGTCCCTATCTCTTATTGTTCAAAAGTTATGGCGAAGGTTAAAGTTGACAACAGACAGAAAGACAAACAGATAAACAGATAAACAGACAAACAGACAGGACAAAAACAATATACGCCCGGGATCTATGGATCTGGGCACATAATTATGAAGCATCCATATATATATATACAATATAATCAGTGGCGGATTTAAGGGGGGAGGACCCAGCCCCCCCCCCCCCCCCCCCCCAATTGTCAAAGTTAGCATCAATCAGAGTTTCGTCTGGAAAATGTAAATATGTCTACTTGGTAGACCTCATTTTTACCCTACAAAATCTCTAGAATGCAGGAGCTCCCAGGGGGCTTTGCCCCCTGTACCCCCACCAAGGCTTTGCCCTGGACCCACTGGGGGCCTCATGGCGGCCCCCAGACCCCTTGCCTTATTTTAGTGCCACCTCTAACTCCAATTCCTGGATCCGCGCCTGATAATTATATGTAGCTGCAGATCTGTAGCATTATGGTTTTAAATAATTTGTCTTTGACCATAACACTACAGATCCTGTAATGCAAAAAAAGTGCAATTTATTGCACAATATTTTTTGCGCACTTTTGGGGAGAATTTCTCCACTTTCAAACTAGCTTTGGTCAATCAACTATCTTTCACTCCTTAATTCTAGACACATTCTGAAGCCAATATGTACATTTTATCCATCTCCCAACCATTTATAGTTGTCTCTACATGCAATAAACTCATTTGAAGTGAATTTTTTGCAATCTAACAAATTATTTTAATCAAGCGAGTTTATCACTTGTAGAGACGACTTTAAAAGGTAGGGAGATGGAAAAATATACAGATTAGTTAAATAATGGACGGTCTTAGAATTAGGGAGTGAAGGGTAATTAACTGACCGATGCTGAAAAGTGGAGGAATTCTCAAAAAAAAATCACAAAAATTATTGCGCAGTCAATTGCACCTTTTTTTTTCATTATGGGCTCTGTAGCTTTATGGTCAAAGACATATATATAAAAGCATATCGCTACAGATCTGCAACTAATATATATGGCACCCATTTTATAGTATGAAGTCTCGTTTTACTAATTTTAGGGATTTATTTTTTGTCTTGGTAAATTGGAAATTGTTTTCTTCAACTTTTAGTTTCACACAGACACATAAGCAAAATTGTTATCATTTGTCAATGCTTTCTGAATATATGTATTGTGTTTATGAAAAAAATGATATACCAGTACTTTATATGCTTACATGTGATAGAGAATCCTGTTCATTGTCTAAACTGGAGATATCTTTGCTGTAACTTTTCAGACAGCCTTTGCAAATTCCTGCATGAATAAATTCCATATTTATTACCAACAGCTTATTTTTTATTGGTACATTAAAATGATAAACATAGTTCAAAATCAATATTTCATATAATCAAATATATGTACGTATATTTAATGTTCATCCAGAGAGTGATTTTAATTTTCCTCAAGTGAAATAAAAAAAAAATAAACAGATCTTGAAATGATAAACATGCAGTTACCTGAACCAATCACCAGTAACACTCCTAAACATTTCAAAATATTTCTGCTCATTTCTGCATTTACTGCTTTTTGGGGTTTTTGAGCTCCCTCATGTGATGGATATGTGCACTTCCGAGGAGGTTTCCAGTGTATCCCAAGGCCATAACGATGGAATGGACATACTGTCATGGATGGATCATATCTTGAAATAATAAATTATTCAATTCTTTATATATTTATTAAAAAAACTCTCTACTTAATCTTTATGAATGAATCTTATGCCCCTTTTGGGAGGGATGTATATTTTGTCCTCCCCCCCCATTTGGTTGGCTTGCTTACAAGTACTATGGTGAAATATCACAATGATGTGATTTAAAATAGGCCTAGTCAATAGTTTCAACCCTCGACACTTAATACATAAAATATGCGACTAGAAAATCATGGATGCTTGTGTATAGGATTTTTTTTTTGTATATATTATATGGATACACTGTTAGATCAGTGTTGTGTACATCGTTTTCATCAGGGTAAGATTAACAGTAAATTTTGTTCAAAAAGACTGAGCAGATATATTACAAATAAATCTCTATTTGTGATATTGTGATTTTACGGGGACCGTAAAAGTCAAACTTAGTTGGACTAGCTAGAGTTTATTTAGGACATGCTTAATCAGAATATCACATAAGTTTTGCTGTAGGTCATCAGTACAAGTCTTCAATTTAGGCAGGCCAAGAATTAACAGCTAATTTTTGTCAAATCAATATCGACCCGAAGACAATTAAAACATAAAGCGAACCAAAATGAATACAAATACTGATGTCATTTGAATCATATTAATTATCACTGCATCAAATATAATTACAAATTAAAGAGAGTTTATATAATTATTTACCGAAATAAACCAATGCGCAGGGCAATCAGAGACCCCTCGCTGTCGGCTGCTGCTGTCACTGCTGTCTGGTGGCCTCCACTTAACTTAATGGCGTGTAGGTGTAAAGATATGTCTCTTTGACAATCGCCCAAAATTTTTAAATCTGTTTCTTTTGGATACGGTTTGTATAATCCGCAGGAACTTCCTGCGTAATGTCCCACACTACATTTTAACCCGTCCTCGTTTTCCATATTTCGCGCATTAGCGTGCCTGGTAACATCACGCCATCTAGCGACACACGTCACATATCCAAGAACGATAACCCGATTTCGCCAATATTGCTCGATTTTATCGGGGAAAACAAAGCTGCGGTCAAAATTTTCCAAACTTTTTAGAACTGGATTTAATAGTACAGAAAGTGCTTGATTAATATATAATAGCATTTTAACCAAAAAGGTTTGCTGTTTTTTAAATCAAAGCCCTAAAGATGCATCACATTGTATAGATTTGCACTAACAGTCAACATGCAATTTTTTTAATTATTGACCTGTAAAATCTAAACAAGGCGGAATATTTCCAAACCGACAAGTGTTTGTCATATACATGTCCTGTCTATTTCTTACATGATATATGAAGTGATTTCTCGAACCTTGACTTATCACAAAAATTTGATTTTGCCTGATTCTTACGTGGACCTGTAAAAAGAAACAACTTTAGGATCAAGTGACAAAAAAAATAGGGTCAGTCGGGTAGCAGGAAACAAGACTATTTTTTTTTAGCCTTATGTAATATTTATGTACCTGTAATAAATTTATGTATGTAACAGTATTTGTTTTATGCTCAAAAGGGCCCTGAATATAAACAGATATCATATTTATAGATTATAAAAGAAATATTTAATACTACAGTTGAAGCAAGCTATGAGTTAGACAGTGTATTCAGCTTTCCCTGCTGAAATAATGTGACCAAATCAAGTGTCACCTGGAAAGAGGAATTAATTCAAGGGTGCTTTTTACATTAACTCCAAAATAGCCATTGGTTTGTATTTTTTTTTTCAATTTACACTTGCACATGTATCAGGGAAAATCCAGAAATTTTTTTCAAGGGGGTGGTAAAAAGGAGGTGTTTTATAATACATGTATTTAATTAAAAATTAAGTTTATGATTTTTAGTCCTTGTATTTTTTATTTAAACACCATAATGTACATACAGTATTATTGTATACATATAGAAGCATTTTCTTAAGTCAATAATTTCTCAAAGATCATATTAATATTTCAGGAAAGTTCAAGCCAGATCTGCTGCTACAGCAAACTGAACATAAAGTGGCATACTTGTGTGTTAGGAAACGAGGAACATGTATGGCTGGACTGAGAATCTAACTTGGGATCCCTGCATCACTACTTACATGTAGGTGTTCTATTGACTTAAATACATGTATGGTTAAATATTTGTGTATAAACATATAAAAAGTCATGTTGTAAATTGAATTCAGAACTGAATAACCAAAAAATTTTAAAATGTAAAGATGTTTTCTAACTTGAATGAAATTGTTTCAACTAAAGCACCAAAGAATTGGTACTATGATAATATGAAGAAGTCAGTATTGTTAAAAAAAACTTGTAATTGACATGGTTTTTTAACAATATTGACCTCTTCACATTATCATAGCTAAATTTGCAAAATAAATCAAAATTGTTAATAAATTCTACATTTTTTTTAAATAGATGATCAAGCTATTTACTTTATTTTATTTTCATCATGTTACAGATCCATGGAAATATAGGATCCTTGGCTAATCAAGTGTCATCTGCAGTGTTACAAAAGAATATTGGATTTATATCAATAAGGTAATTAGGGACAAAACTGAATTAAAAAAAAAAATGGAATAAGATGTAAAAAGAAAAGTATTTTAATTCCACATATAATATTTAGTTTGCTAGTGGTATATGCATTGATGTGTCACTGACAGGTACAGGTAGTTTTTTATTTCCACAAAAACTTGATCCTTTTGTATTAACTCTTGAACAGTTTGTGCTGAGTCTTTGTATTTCACGTTTATTTCTTTTCTTTTCTGTTCTTGGCCTTAGTGTGTGGCCTACATTTATAAACTAAAATATTTGATCTTTATCCTTATATACCACTATAATACCAGTTTGTTTAATTAAGACAATTCATTAATCCAAATAATTTCCTTGGGAGCAAAAATGCCCAGATTAATGAGGCTGATTTTATATGCATTTAATTTAAAAAATTCATGGCATTTGTCATTATATAAAAAAGGTATCTCAAAAGTGTCTTATATTCATATAGACATAGTCATACTATGTTTGCAGTGAAAGAAAGAAGTAAAACATGTATTTTCATTCTTATTGTATTAAAATATTTTGTTCTTTTCAGAAAAAGAACTACCAGAAGGAGATGGTAAAGAGGAACGGACATATCACACCATAAGACGTGCTTCAAAATCTGAATATACAGAGTGAATTTTGTTTACTGCAGATCCTTGTGAAAGAACACCTTTGTTGTATTGACATAAAAACAACAGAATTGTCAGGATCCTTGAACATGACGCAACTGGCTGCATACGGTGGGAATTAAAAATGCATACATGTTTACATTGATCTTTGTTAGCCAATAAGACAAAAAGAAAAATAGCAAGTTTAATATCCTATTACCGTACATGTACTGAATGTATTCACTTTATTTTGTTGAACTACATCATGAGTTTAAAAATTGTACAGTATCACATACAGTCTATGGTGGAATTCCTCTAACTTTTATGAATCTGTTTGCAAAATCTATACTTTAAAGTTACAAATTATTACCTCGTATACATTGTATGTATTTTTGTAAATTATTGCACTGTTTTTGTATGTATGTAATGATAACCAAATCACCCAATTTTCCCGCACTTTTTACCATGTATTTAGCATTTTTTTTACCATGCTTTAATGTAATAATATCTGACAACTGATGACCAGGCAGTCTTCATTTAACAGTGTAATACATAACACATTTTTATCTGAATATTTTCAAAACTTCATAATCACTGGGTTTCCTTATTTATGTTGTACATGTATTTGGAATAAAAAAGGAATTGTTTAATAAAAGAAAAGTGAAATTAATCATTCTATTGTTGTCAAAGGAAGAAAATAAAACCAGTTTACTTATGCACGGAATTGGTCAAAACATTATTGTCATTGATAATTCATCCAAGAATCATATGTATAATAAATCTACAAAGTCAATTTGAACGATATCAAGGAAAGTTCTTATCTTTTTTAATATAAGTGCAAAAAGGTCAAGCAGGGCAACATGTGTCCAGGTGTACATGTATAAATTGTTTTCTGTGATAAAGAATGTAATTTAGAAGAATATTACTTCGAATTTTACTCATTTTCTTTGAAATATTTTGATTAATTCTATCTATCAAAGTCAATTTGAACGATATAAGGAAAACTTCTTATCTTTTTTAATATAAGTGCAAAAAGGTCAACCAGGGCAACATGTGTCTAGGTGTACATGTATGAATTGTTTTTGTGATACAAAATGTAATTTAAAAGAATATTACAAAGAATTTACTCCTTTTCTGTGAAATATTTTGATAATTTCTGCATAATCTCTCTTAGTCACCATATTCTTCAAAATTGCTTCCTTCTAAAGGAAGGGGGTAGGGTAGGGTGTAAGATAATAAACTTGTTCCAGGTTGAATTTAAACCCCATTATGTAGTATGATTTTTTTCTAAAATTTAAGACACTTATAGGCTAACTATAATATGCAATAAAAAAAGAAATTTGATGGGTAATTTTTTCACAGTGGAAGCAGAAGTGTGAGACCTTGTGCAATGAATAGGCAATATTTTAACCTAATTTGACCATGCATCTTGGTAAATGTAATTCTGTTTTTTGCTTACAATGCTTGATAAATTTAAGATTGATGTCAAATATTAATCCATACAGACAGATGTTTGAATTCATATAAGACAAATGATAATTGATATAGCAATAAAAAATTTACAGCCCTTTTCATATCATATTCTTATATTATTTTACCCTGCTTTTTCAGCTCTTCGGTGGTTGATGAAGGCAATATCAAAATTGTCAAATTTCTCTAAAACTAGCCCGATGACCTGCCTTGAATTTTTGATATGATTTAGAACAAGGACTCGACACAAACATATAAAAAATTCAGAAAAATTCAATGGGTAGTTTTTTTGTTGACAAGCTATCAATCTCTACCTTAATTTTACATTCGAATAGTATTGTAATGACAAGATAAGGTACGCATGAATTTATGTTTACAATAATTAGGGGAAATTACTGTATGTAAAATTAGGGGAAAAAAATATGTAAAAGTGTATGGAAAAGACATTTATTATTCATTCGTGTGCAATTTCACTGTGACGTCACAATTGATTACACTAAGCTCTGCAGATGCTAATCTACCTTTGGCAGTCCTTAACCTAGCTGCGCAGTTATGGAATGGATACGAGGAAAATAAAAAGCTTATGGTTCCCCGAGGGAGGAAACTATTTCCTGACGCGACGAAGCAAGTACGCAAGGTTTAAATTGGCTTGAAAGGCGGTTACAATTCGAATTTGTCAGGCTTAGAATTCATTTTTGAAGAGAATATTTTGTCAAAGGCTACTTGTCATCAGTAATAGTGAACAGATTCCTGTCTGGGAATACTTTTATTTATGAAAAGCTACAAGAAATACGTCCAAAGATTGATGACAAAAATTGGAGGAATTTCGGTCGTCTGAAAGGGATGAAAGGATTCTATGGATAGAGACACTTGGCCGAGCTAATTAATTTGCAATCAAAGTTAAATTTGATCAAAAACATTCAATCTACTTTTTCTTAGCTGTTTGTGGCGTGATTGCATTGCATTAATATTTTCCAATAGATTTACACATTTACCGTGAGTAGATTTTTATGAAAAAATATAGTTTTAGCCTATATCATAAAGATTTAACTTAAATTCTACCAAAAATAAGGATAACGTTATAGAAACTGTGCACACGACAAAAGTGAAACAAGGTCTAGATTCTGTCGGTATATTCTTCATGTACACAGTTTAAATCGATCGTCAAAAAATGTATGAAGTACTTGTTTACGTTGATTAAAACAATTATTTTACTTGCTTATTTTTTTATTTTTATACATGAAAAGAAGTCATTTTATATTTATAAGTAACGGTAGATATTATTGCACTGTGTCATTCGGCCATGTATTGACCTCTGACCTC